TCTTTTTTTTCTCTCTCTCTCTCTCTCTCTCTTCTTAATTAGAAATCCTTGGAATAGTGAGTATTTGTATCTTTTTTCTAAAACTAAAGGTACTTCCACGATTAAAGCAACTTTTAAGGTTACAATGGAACCTTTCCCTACGGACACCCGTTCTTAGCGCGGACTAGTTCAGAGGATGAGTTTCATTTGATTTCAAATATGCCAAACTTTATACCATTCCTACTTCAACATGAAAGCAAAGCTCTGTCCGTTTGGTGTTCGTATCAAGCTGGTTTGATTTTAAGTCGTCGATCATCACTCTTCAACGCTCTTCTTCCAGGTATCATGACCACAGTAGCAAAATTCCCTCAAATGGGGATGTGAGTTTTTTATGCAATCCGGTTGTGATCCATAAAGATTTATGCGACTGATGTGCCCGCTCACCTCAAAACGACCCTCAATAAGCTTAACAGACGCCTCAAAAACTGCAAAACCCGGTATGGTTCGAAACTTAACCTGGTAGATACAGTCAGTTGGTTTTGTTGCGTTCTTAAACTCCGGTTTTCCGAGACCTAAGCCATCACCATCTTGTATTCCACTGAATGTTTGCACTTTAGAACTTGGTAATTCTTGCCAGGCGCCTAAAATAACGTCTAGTGTTAATCGTTCACATAGCCTACTGACTTTAGGGTCTTTCTTGAGCAAGCTGTTAATGTGATCAGTAGCAATCTGGGCGCCAATACGAACATGCGCATGGGTGGTGTTCAGAGGCAACCACTGAACACATGGGCAAAAGTACTCTGGTATCTTAGCGTCTTGACATGTTCGATTTCGGGGAAGTTTTGAGAAAAGACTTATTCCACGGGTGAGTTCCGTCTGTGAAGGATCAAAAGGATACTTGAGCAAATGCATAAAAGTTGCATGTAAATCCAACGGTGATATAATAATATTTGTATTTGATTTGAAGTTCTTTGTCAGTTTCGAGTATTTCAAGCGGAAGTTATCTGGCAACGTAACGGATAACAATGGTAACCGCTCCTCCAGCTTTCCCTGCATGGTCGATCGGAACTCCCCTGTGCGAGCGCCGTGGTCTCCCATGACAACGAGCATGGTGTCATTCAAAAATCCCGAGTCCCGCATCGATTTAAAGAACTCGTAAAAGTCTTTCTCTGCAGCACCAAGTGGTAATATTGTGTTATGATGGCAGAGGCTACTCAGAAAAATAAAACCAAATTTAGGAGTCTTGGGATAAGCTCTAAACATGCTCTTCAGATATTCAAGCTGAATTTTGTGTTGAGGTTGAGCGTTGATGCATTTCTCATGAAGTACTCCCGCGTTTAGTTTGTGTGGCACCGCTGACCAAAACGGTCGCGCATAATGATCACAAGGTGGCTTACTAAAGCCTTTGAGTCTCATATTGAAAGCACCTGAAAGCAAACAAAAACATATAAATTTAACTTACAATAAATAGCTGTCGAAATAACTCTCACTTGGAACAATCTTGCAAAATCGCGTCACCTAAATTCGGCCTAATATACTACCCAAAACAAAGAGCTCGTTCTTCCAGATCAGGAGCTGCATGGACTCCTGCCCGGGTGAGATTTGGAAGTAAATAGTTCCCGACAGCTTGAAGAGGGGAGAAATACCTACTAACAGTAATTGCTCGCTATAGGAAAGACACACAGGGCACCCAAAGACTGCTTTCTGTAAAATATCTGTTCGCAGAAGCAGATATTGCCTAGAATTTTCTATTACTTGAGGACGGCTAAAAACTTTTAAATAAGCGTTCCATCCATGTACAATTTTCGAGGCTTATTTAATAAATGCCCTAAGTGTCTTTTTCATACTTGACTCCAGGTTCGGCTATTTTTCGTAGAAAAAAGGAAGCCTAAAATTTTCGGATTCAAAATTGTGATGGAGAGATCAGAGGAATTTGAAAAATTCCCACTTAAGCGTAATACGTTAAATTGCATCTAAATTTCGGGGGTAATTAAACTGAAGCCCTTGTAATTTCTTAAAGACTCAAGTTCCTCTAGGATGACCGAATAGACACAAATTTTATAGCGCCACTTAAAATGCATTTCTAGAGCTCTAAAAGTACTCTGGGTAGCCTAAAAGGTGTTTTCAATGTATTTAGGAGGAAACTGTCGTTGGGTGCCCCTGAATAGACATAGTTGGGAACACCACTGAGGTGTACTAAGTGACTTAAGTTTTTGTCTTAAGAGGTATACGTCTTATCTAGAAAAATGACTAAAGAACGTTATGGGCCAACTACTGCGGTGTTGGTTTAAGGGAGGTGTCTGTCCTCTAATAGAGGTGCCCATTTAAAGAGATTTGACTGGATTACCTTTTCACGCCTGGGCTATCTATGAATGTTTGACCGACACGAGAATTAAAACATGGAAGAAAAAGAAGCCTACAAGAAAACATTTCGGAATTTGAACCATACGTGTAAAATATTGGGTTGATTATATAAAAATTAGAAAATTGACATGAAGACAGGACTTTTTCAGTCCAGCGACCAAGAAGCACTTGGCAAAGAAAATAAAAGAGATAAGTGCACTCAAGAAAAGAAATCGATGTGACTAGTTTACCTATAGGTGGAGCATCTTCACTAAACATAGTAGCGTAACCATATTCCTTTAACGTCCTGAAAATAAACGGCCATGGATCCACAGTTCCTGCGCCCTTGAATCCAGTCCGAGCCTCGTGAATTTTACAATTCTCCTCCAGACTCCGTCCGGTCAAGAGCGCTGTCAGTTGAGGCGTTGTGCCCTCACCTACTAAAGAGAACCCATTGAACATGAATGCCTGCAGCTCATCTTGCAGAAACTTGTACGAGCTGCGAACGAGACGCTGAAAAGTTGCGTGGGAGGTTTGGTCCAATCCCAAAATGACAATATTTAATGGTATGCCAGCCCTTTGTTGCGATACTCGCCGCAGCACGTGACTCTTGGGGACAACCTGTGCGTGAAAATCAGTTTGTTTCACTCCATTGAAGAACTCGGCGTTCGCTTGAATGAAATCGTGGTTTAATCTCAACACTGGTGCTTTATACTTCAATGGTCTGCGATTTCCTAAGCGGAATCCAGAATCGGAGCCACCCGTTTTCCTATGTATCGTTTGAAAGGACAGATTTGTAACAGGCGCACCTCTGTCATGATAAACCACGACTTTGAGAAGACCATCACGGTAGCTGGTAAATAGCGTTGCGTCACGTTCACACGCAATCGGTACTATAGGTCGAAAATATCTCATGGAACTTGCGTCAAAAGGATCTATATTCGGAAGACGACAGCTCACTTCTCCAGATGAAATGGGTCTTTGTACTTTCGTTGGTGACGTTCCGCACTTCAGATTATTGACATAGAATTCTAGAAAACATAGGCCATAAATTAGAGTTGCCAGTTTACAACAGTTAACACTTTGCAGGTCTAACGCCAGAGTTCTAAGCTACAGTATGTTACTTCGGCACTGACCTCTTTGTCTCTGTGCCACAATAAAGTTCATTTGTGTCCTTTTAAACTAAAATTGGATATAACATCTTGCTTGTTATGAAAATTTTTTCTTCTGGGCTAAGAAAATCTTGGAAGTTATTATTTACTCTGATAGCTTAAAGAATGAACGCAATTCCTAGCCCCGAAAAAACTGAAATTTATACATGAGTTTTAATTTCGTTTTCCAAATGGCGCAAAATTGCAATTTCTGTAGAGCGTGACTTACTTGGTCCACTCATACTTACCAAGACTGGTAAGAAAATCCTTTTTGACAAGTATTGTAGAATTGTCATCTGCGAAAAGAATAAACTCGGATCCTAAAGTAAAGTAGTTTGTATCGTCCTTTGGTTTAAAGATTGCTTGGCATTTTTCTTGTGCAAGCTGATGGCAGGCCATTATAGCTTCTTTCTCGGATGGAAAGGCTTGTGTCGATACAGGAGCTTCAAAATCATGCTTGTCAACAGCTTTGAAATTATCCAGCTAGGGCAAAAAATTCAGAATTGATTTAAGAACTAATAATGACTAACTTATGATATAAGCCTTTCCACTTTAAACAACTCTCGTTAAACTCAAGAACGTCAGTTATCGAGCATAATGCCAGTGGTTATAGCATTGCTGTAAAATAGCCGCTTGCAAGAAAACAGGCGGAAGCAAAGGCTTCTTTCGTAGCATGATCATGAGTGGCAAGTGTTTGCGACGTGGGCTCGTGGAATGGGGGAGGAGTTTAACTTCCTCCCCACTAACTAGCGCGCAATTCGCCTTCTCGCCCGCCCAAATACCTTCTTTCGCCTTCCGTTACGAACTGCTGCCACGCAGCCTAACACCTTTTCCCGAACCATTTTAATAAATTAAGTATGACCATTAACCATTAAGTATTTTTTTAATCCCTGATCTAGCCTAGGACTGAGCAAACTTTCGACGCATGGGATGAAGCCTGAAGAGTGAAGAGACTAGTCCCTCCTCTTCACTTCCAGTCCCCTCTTTCAATCGCCCTTTCAAAGACTTACTAAGTCTCTTAGTAACTTATCTTAACCCCTTTCTATCTCAGAGACGGGGGGGCTGGTTCACTCTGTATACCAGAAGCATTTTTTTGTTGTTATTGTTTGCGCCGTATTCATTGCTTTGTGTAGTGCGTCGTCGAGACCCATGTACAGAACTTTATGTAATTTTAATTTGTTTTTGGAAAGCGCTCATACCGAATGGTTACCAACCTTTATAACTGTCTACCTACTCACATTAGAGGCAGATATCACTTACTTTGATATACTCTTGAGGGGCAAAGGTTCTGTGCAAATCATCTTCGTGTGCCAGTGGCGTTAGGGTATGTACCTACAGAGAAGTGTACGTGTAGACAGTTATTTCTCCTTGACAAAGCGACTACCCGTGATTATCCTCTCTCCTTTCAAATCTAGCCTTTGCGTTGATGGGCATACTTATATCAGCTTTGATATCCTTAGGACACCATTTAGATACCATCTAACATCATGCCATGATAATAAATAAATGTAGCCAACCAAATTTCTGCACTCTCTTTTTCTTCTTCGAGTAAGGAAAAGAGAGGACCCTGGTCATGAGGTTGCAATAATTTGCAGGTAACTTTTGTAGCGTACCTTTCATTTCCGAGCAACTGAAAAACAGTTCAGAGAACTTGCTTCCAAGCTCAAAAATATTCAATTTAGATTTTCAAGCCATTCTGTTACTTAAAGTAAGTCTTAGAAGATCATATCTGTGGAAACGTTTATAGGCGTCCGCTGCCTTCGGCCTCTATCCTCTGGTTCTTGGTTCAATTCTAAGAAAGACTGCATGCTACACGCCGGGAACTCAATCTTTAATTAAAGAATGCATGGTCACTGGCCCGATTTACACCAGTTTCCACCGTTTTTCGGAAATCGGTCAGATTTTTCACAACAAAATATTTTAAATTAACAATTAAACTTTCCAAGTTGAAATCTTTCTTCATATCCACTACGGTATGGAAATTGATCTTTATGAAATAACCCGCCGATTTGAAAGGCTCCTTCCGCGAGGAGAATGGAACTGGCCAATATCCCGTTTGAATGACTCAGAAACCCAAGAAAGGGGATTTGAATGTCTGAATGGGGGTTCCTCGATGACAATCAAACAGTTCCTTTTTTTTGGGTTTGAACATGAAACAGTTAAACTTTAGGCATTAACACTAACAGTAAAAAATTATGTGAAGCAGTAAATTTTTTCCTGAAAGGAGCAAAAACGGCTCCAAAAAGGCCAATATTATTTTGTTTAGTCATATATCAAGGAGTTTTCAGCCATTTTGAGACAATTCCAGATTATTTCATCAGAAGATTTCCAAAGGCTACCGACGATTCCCGAAGACTGTCGAAGATTTCCGAAGACTAACGAAGATGTCCGAAGAAGCTTTCGCCCTCGCGTTCGTTTAGGAAATCGAGTCAGTATTTTTTGTGCCTGGGTCACACTTGGGACGTCATCCACAAACTCAACAGTTATGGCCATCATCAGTTGACTCCTGATAATTCCAACCGTCAAGGGAAATAGAAAAAAGTTTGACTTCTTGGGAGTTCGAGTTATCGAGGGTAAAATGATATAGAAAACGATCTGAGGGGAAATGTAAATCGCTTCGAGTTAGCGGAAGGTTCGAGTTATAGAGGGTTCGAGTTACCGGGATTCGGTGGTGCGAGGTAGAATCTTCTTACCTGTTTTGTCGGCCATTCAGAACTGGCCTTACGTTGCTTAATTCTGTTGTTGTCAGTGGAAATTTTATTTTCCCTAAATGAAGTATGATACACAGGTATTACTGGTGATTTTTCCTCCTGTTTCCATCGATCTGTACTAAGCTGTCCTCGAGAGGTAGACTGCTGACCAGATTCGGTTGTTACTTTCGAATGCCAGGGTTTAATGAAAGGCGAGTGGTTGACCTTTTCTAGCTTTATCGTTAACTTTGCTTCCAGTTTCTTTTCTTTCTCTTTTTCTATCTGGTCGCTAACTTTCCACATGCAAAGTAGATTGATTAAGACCATCATTGCTGCTGAAAGAATGAGAAATTTGCGGACCAACTGCAAAGAGAAACACTTCATTGTGCGTCGGGCATCAGCTTCGTCGATTCAATCCTTCGTTGCTTCAAATAATCAGAATATACCATTTGTTTCACTGTAATGGCAAAAAAAAAAAAACCATCGCGACATAAACGCTGTGGTCAGTTTAGTTCGGAGTGGTATATATTTTCATATGTATTGGTCATTTTCGGTGTTTCAGCATTCTTATCTTGATGATGTGTGACAAAAAGTCGTAAAGGATTTGTCACACCGAATCAGTGAAAACAGAGCTAGTTATTCCGTCACCAACACATTCCACATAAAGTCGTCGCCAAAGTCGCACACCTGCGTATTCACAAGAAGTAACTAATAAGACGCAAGCACTCGGGAGTCAGACTACAGTTAGTGTCCTAGCTCATACAATACGTACGTGTAGAGCATGTTAAAAAAGTCATTTGAATTCTCAGACCAACGATCGATGCACTTCAGTGCTATGTTATAAAAGCCACGTCTCTAATAGAAGAACTTTAGCCATCCACCTCTTGTTAACACGTATTCAGCACGGAACAATGAAATCATTAAGGTAAAACATTTATGCTTGAACAAAGCTGAATAAACAAAGTTGGCGTGTAATGCATGCGTTCTGTGTGATTATATTATAACGGCTATGCATACGACATTTGAACATCTCTCCTTATTTTTGTATGAGTTACTTTTCAACTTCACTTATCGATCCTTATCACTTAGCTTTGCATCGTCTGTTTTTGTTGTCAATTGTTTTTGTTGTCAATTGTTTTTGTTGTAGTTGTATAGTTGTTACTACTAACAGTTCTACTAACTATGGTTGTTATTATTAGTACTATTAACCTATAATAGACCATGTCACGGTTTTCGACGCCAGTAGGCAAACGCGTGAGAAATTACAGTGTTAATATGAGAATCTAATGTCGAATAATTTCCGTAAAACGGCTGTTCTGAAAAAAAAAAATCAATTGTAAACTAAAGCTACAAAGCAAAGGATTGTCTCAAAAAATTTGAGGGGTGTATCTGCGCTTAAATTTCTCCAGAGGCTTGCTTTAGATTTTCCATATATTTGTCTGTAATTTTTTCGGGACTTTCTTAAGGACAAATGTATAGAAAATTCAAAAAAGTGGTTCTAGGTCTTCAAGTGCATGTAACGCCCTCAGATTTTTTCAGGAGAATCCTTCGGAGTGAAGCTTTAGTTTACAAATCATATTTTTTTCAGAAGAGCCGTTCTACGGAAATTATTCGACATTAGATTTTCATACAATCACCGTAATTTATATAGAAAATTCAAAAAAGTGGTTCTAGGTCTTCAAGTGCATGTAACGCCCTCAGATTTTTTCAGGAGAATCCTTCAGAGTGAAGCTTTAGTTTACAAATCATATTTTTTTCAGAAGAGCCGTTCTACGGAAATTATTCGACATTAGATTTTCATACAATCACCGTAATTTCTCACACGTTTGCCTACTCGTCAAGATGGCGTCGAAAACCGTGACAAGGTCTATTCTGAAGGAACAATCGCAAAAAAAGTCTTCGGGTTTCAAGATCTTTTGATAATTGTCAAAAGCTTAGGTGGTTTAAAGTGGATCCTCCGCGATCAAATGTTTAATCTCAAAGGTTATTGGATGGAAGAGTAGCACCAGAAAACCTTATTTAGAGGTTGCGGATTTACTTCGGTTCGAGCATAAATATTCCACAAGATCAAAAGAAGTACACCGCTGCCGAAAACTGATGCAATGAAGTCAGAAGAATTGAAATTGCTCATAATTTAGCAGCCATTTTTTGCACAATGAAACTATCGACGCTGAATCTAAAGACGCCGCTTCAAACTAGTATACAGGAATCACTGAAAAGTTATTCTGGTTTGAAAATTTCCATGAACTGATTTCTTTGTATAACAAAACTTGTAAGCAAATGTTCTTTGTACTAATTCAACAGACTTTTTCAACGCTTTTAATTTTTAGTATCCAATATTTTTACATATTTTTTAAGCTTTTCTTATCTTGATTTGTTGTAAACCTTTGGTGTTTTAATGCAGTGGTTAATGCCATTTGTATGATGCTGTCCATTTCGTTTTGCCTTTCATATTTAAATTTGATAATCCTGGTTTAAATAACAAAGCCCTATTAAATTTGCAGGAGAAAGAAAAATCCTAAAGGATTCTGGAGGTAGTAGTCAAAAGACACCGTCGTGGAAATCGCCCTACTCAACTAAAGGTTATTATTGTAAAATGTACATTAAGACTTTTTTCTGTTAAAAACATGAAAATCAATCTGAGAGAAGCATTTTTCAGGCCATTCGCCTCTTTGATGTTTGACTGATTTAATTCTCTTATCAGTTTGCCTCAAACCTCTGATCCTTGCAAGGTCCTACCTTAGTAAAAATACTGTTCTAAAAGTTTATCCAAGAAACACCAAACTAACTTGTAGTTTTGTTTTAACATATACAGTATCAACACTGTTTCGTCCCATAGAAGGGATTCCACGACAGTCTTGGATTCTGGATTTCACGTCACGGATTCCAGATTTTAGGTACTGGATTCCAATCTTTGTCAGTGGAACTTGGATTCTAGATTCCAATCGTTAGTGGGATTCCGGATTCTTTGAGCTGTATTCGGCAGGATTTCGAAGCCCAGGATTCAGGATTCTACAAGCAAATTGAGTAACCATTTCCTCTGGTTTATTCTTCTGTAGGTGTTCCTGATAGGATTTGATCTCAGATGCAGTTGTAAAGTGTTTTAATTTTCTTTGACCTTGTTTCTTTCGGCTAAATGAAGACAATTCCAGCGCTGTGAAGTTTAAAGACGCCATTTCGGCAATTTGGTCATCAATTATGCTCTTTTTAAAGGGGAAACCACAATCACTTACGTCTTTTCAAGTTTGCCATCTGCTCCCTTAATTGGGAAATATATGCGAAGGATCATCTAACATGATTGACATATGTATGGCCCTCGACCAATCCGTTTCTCCGCACACTGGTGTGCGGACTATTCAAAATACCGGGGTTTTCCTGCAGGCGGTATTTCAACCGCCTCGTCCCTACTCCCTTTTTTTGGAACACGGCTGCGCCGCCAAAACTTTAATCTCGCACCCACACAATACTGCCAGCTACGCAGGCTAGATTTTATTCTGCGATTCCATTTTTGTCGCCATAAATAGCACGGCAAAAGGACTTGTACTCCAACTTCGTGAGGAGATCTTGTGATGCACACCAGTCTTTAGACCGTTCACAGTCCCCCTTTTTTTTTGGAAGATCGTCATGATTAATAGTTTCCTTCGCAGCCGTTATTAGTGTCGTCACGCAACGCTCCTCCCCACTACTACATGATTGAGCGTTTACCGGTTCGGGCGGCCATCTTGGTTTCATATGTACCGAGGGGGCGGCCCCTAAAGTAGATTTGACACTCACGGTCATCCAAGATGGCCACCCGTAACGCAAAGTCTTCGATCTCGACGATCTTAAGGAAAAGTAGGGGACTGTGTATAGTCTAACCAGTCTTTGTCAACTTGCTAAAAGATTTGCTGATACTAATTGTTAAATGGACGAGGCAGTTTAATTTGAAAGGTCTCAGATGCCAATTGCAGCGAAAGCACTGACTGAAGTCATACACAACCCATGAAAGAATGCATTTGGGTAGGGCCTTACACATTTTAGTCATAGCCAATGGGGCTGGCAACCTGGTAGATGTCGGTGTAACGTGCCTGAAATTGTAAAATTATAGTATCAGTGAAACATTTGGTTACCTCCACTGTTCCTACTACTACGACAATGACGTGTCTGCTTTAGCGATCCGTTTTGAGCCGCGAATTCTAGATTTCGAGTTGTACTTACAATGATAAGTATCTTTTAATCTAAAACTCGCCAATACCTCTTTGAAATAGCTTTAGAGGAGAACACAGACAATTGGAGACACAACAAAAGACAAAAGGTAATACGTTTTTTGGCTTGTTTCGTTGTTTTTATTATTATTATTATTATTATTACTATTATTTTGTAATGATTGTTGAATGCAAGATGAAACAGATGCGAACAAATAGCAGTTTTATCCCTTGAAACCCTGTACTTTTTTTGGGGGGAGGGGGTCACTGAAAAGCATTTTAATGAGGTCAGTCATAAATTATTCTTTTAAACTGAAAAATTATCGTAGCCTCCCACCACCCCATAAATTATGAACGCTCCCGCCTTAAGTTCATAACACGATCAATATGTCAATAAAACAAAAAGCCAAAAGTTTCGAAAAAGTTAACGCGAGTTAGCGTTAAAGTGAGTAAGAGAGAGAGATAGAGATATTCTGTTTATTTCACCCACTTGCAGCAATAACTGAATTGTTGGGGAAGGTCATTGTCACATACAATTAACCATTTACATACATTCACTGAAATTTATAAGTTACAAAGTCAATAATTCTTCTGGTATGACCATGTTGACGTCTTGGAAGTTGGACCCTTATACTGTAATGAGACTCAATAGCGGCAGGAGAGGGGATGATGTTCTTAAGGGGGGAGATTTGGCGTCCAGTAGCCATAAACCGCTTACAAGCTCCTACTCTCCTGTCACTAAGAGACTCCAGGCCGGCCAAGACCAAGGCTTCCGTATAGTCTACCCGACCAAATATTAATTTGAGAGCTTTCCGCTGTACAGACTCAATTAACTCGTCCAGATATAAAGGGATCGCACCCCAAACTGGTGAAGCGTACTCGACAATGGATCTAACAATACTACAGTAGACTAACACGAGATCGTTAGTGCCCAGTCCAACTCTCTTGAGGGTCCGCAGCACACACAAACCCTTAGTAGCTTTTTTATGGATACTGTCACAATGTTCGTTCCAAGAGAGATCATTAGAGATAATAACCCCTAAGAGTTTATAACTAGATACTCCATCAATGACTATACCATTAAGCTGAATCGGTGTTATAACAGTAGGTTGATACTTCAAAAAATTGATAACCATATATTTACATTTTTTCTCATTAAGCCGCATGTTACGCATGGAAGCGTAGGTGTTAATATTTGCG